TCAGTTTGTGCCCATTGCCCCTTGTCCTGTCGCTGGGCACTACTGAAAAGAGCTTGGCCCCATCCTCCTGACACCCACCCTTCAGATATTTGTAAGTATATATTAGGTCCCCTTGCAGCCTTCTCCAGGCTGAACAAGCCCAGCTCCCTCAGCCTCCCTCGTAGGAGAGATGTTCCAGTCCTCTCACCATCGTCATAGCCCTTCTCTGGACTCTGTTGTAGTTATCCATTTAGCAGAATTGATCTGTTCAGCTTCTCGGGACAGAATGATGCATACTCTTCTTATAGCGTATCCTGTATATGTTTTTCTGTTATGTATTAACCTGGGTAAGATGATTTGAATGAAAGGCGGCAAATCAGGATCCTGCTGACTTCTGGTTGTGACTACCCTTGAGCACACCATATCATGTTTCTTCTCACTTTTCTGAACTACATGATTACCTCAGGAAACTCAAGGACAAATGTTCAAGAAGAAGCTTGGAAAGAAAAGGTTAATAGTGAGGGTTTTTTTTTTTTAAAAAGGCACACACATCTTGAACTTTTTCTCTGTGTGTGAGGAACCATTTTAAACGATTGCTCCATTTGAATGAAGGCCTTGGGTTTTGTCCCAGGCAAAAATATTTGAAAAAGCTTCAATTTTCTGTTTGCTTTTGTGAAGTCAAATGGGTTTGCAGTGCACAGAAGCAATGTCTGCAGCTGCCAACTCCTGCACAGTCATAGCTCACAGGCCATTAACACCGCTAAGAGTCTGTATCCACAGGACGACATGGATGTCTAGCGAATCCAAGGGCATGAATGAATGGTATAGCTGTACTGAGCTGCTCTGTGGGCCAACCATAGATGTCTCACATTGGACCGCAGGTTAGGAAAAAGGGCTCCAGCTCTCAGAAAAAGACTAGACTAGGAATCCCATCTTCACTTGTTCAAGGAGGATAGCATGTTGAGTAGATAGATGTGATGTAGCACGCTGTAGCATCTTGCAGCTAGCTATAGTGCATACTTTTACATATTTGGATGTTGGCTTTATGGCAATATATTACAAGACAAATACACAAATAGAGCAGACTTTACATTCTTTGCATGCAGGTCTGGAAGGAGAAAACACAACTACCTCTTGGTGTGTCTGTTACTACTTATTTCTAATAAACATAGCAGCATTAGATGAATGCCATTTCTGGTAATGGCCTTTAGATTCTTTGCTGTGGTTCCTCTCCTGTGTTCTGAAACACTTAAAGTGACAATTTATAATCTGCAGCTTCCTATTACACTTAAATGAGCAGTTCCTCTGTAGATTTTCAGGCTACTGTCTAAGGTAGGAGACTCATAGAACTGAAAATCGAGGCTTGGTGTCTTTGGGAACAAAGAAACTACCACCACCAAAAAGCAGTTGACTGTTTCTAGACAAATATCAAACTATGGTATTTATTGCCAGGGAAGTAGCAAGTGCATAATTACATTACAGAGGAAGCTTGCTCTTTCCACTTGGCGTGCAGCTGGAGCAGGCGCTGGTTGCCACAGCAACAGGAAGATGGCTAAATATAGCCTCCCCAGTGCTGGACCACTTAAGGTAGAATGATGGGGAAGTGTGAGGGTGTGGGCCTGGCTCTCATCTTAACCAACTTCTTTTTTTTTTTT